CTGCAAGGTCAGGGGGACGTAGGCACCCCAAGCACTGCAGGAGGGGCAGAGGGGCGAGGGCTCCCGCCAATGCTCTGGCTGCCTAAGTGACGCGGCCCTTGGCCTCACTCCCACTCTGGGCTTATTCCTGAATTCATCCTCCTGGGCTGTTGGGGGTACTTCGGAGGATGTGAGGTGCAGCACTGTGGGAGTGCAGCGGCAAGGGTGGGAGGAGCTGCATGCAGTGCCTCCCTCCAGGGTGCACCCTCGGGCAGCCACGTGAATTTACCATGTGGGACACAACACAGGACGCAGTGTGGACGTGCTCTCTGGAGCTGTACCCACCGTAGTGGCATCTCCAGACGATAACATGGCATGAACCAAGGAATGTGAGTAACTGGACCCCAGCTCCAGCCTCTGAACATGGTTAATCAGGTCCTATCGCTCTCATGCTTGAAACCATCTAATACGATCACACTCCTACTGAGAAACCCTCCAGTGGCTTCCAGTCACCCACAAACCAAAATCCCAACTCCTGACCGTGGCCTGTGAGGCCCTCCCTGGCCTGGCCTTGTCCTCTCCGTCTCGTGGCCCACCCCTCCCCTCACTCACTGTGTCCCAAGCAGCCTAGCCTTTCTCTTTGCTAAACCCCAAGCTGATCCCATCCAGGGGCCTTGGTTCTACCTTTCTTTGCTGGGACTTCTGCACCCCAGACCCTCAAAGAGCTGGCTCCTACCAGCCCATCCATTCTCAACCCAAATGTCACTCCTTAGAAAGATCTCCTCTGACTCTGAATCTAAAGTAGCCTTGACCCCACTCTCCATTACCTCTTGTTTTTATCCCTTACCTGGGTCTAAAACTCTCATCATTATTACTTGTTTACTACCCAACTAGGAGGTAAGCTCCAAGACAGCAGGGGCCTAATTTTTCTTATTCACGGCCGTATCCGTAGTAATGAAAACACTGCTCATCAAATCTCTCTTGAAAAAATGAATGAATAGTTTTATTGAGAATGGAGCTGGGGTGGGACAGGAACTAGAATAAGATGGCAACAGCCAGAGAGGGAGTGGAAGGCGAGGAAGGGGAGGCAAGGAGCAGGGAGCATCCCCTGAGCGGGCCTGGCTGTAACTGCGTGGAGAGATGGGACGACAGCTGTAAGGAAAGGTCACAGCTTCGTCCATCCAACTGTCCCTCCCTGTAGCCTCAAGGAAGCTGAACTCCATGGGCAGTGCCCTCAGGGCTGGCTGGTTGCCTTACCTGCCCTGGGCTGGCCAGGTCAGCTGTCCCCAGGACCCTGACCCTGCATTACCTGGTGTCCGGGTTGGAGTCCTGGGCCAGCCTCACCAGGTTGTGCACCAGCACGTCTGTGCTGTCTCTAGTGCCTGAGAGAAGCTTCTCGGCGCCTATCTGCTCCAGGACGACAGAGAGGTGCTCGGCAGTGCATTTCCGGACCAAGGGATTTCGGTGGCTGAAAGGAAATGCAATCATGAGCAAGGGCTCAGCCAAGGAATGGGATGTGGGGGGTCCCCCGACCAGCACACGTGGACCTATATCTTGTGCATCCCTGTTTCATGCCACAATGGGCTCAAAATTTTTTCTGGTGTGGGCCAAGGGGAATCTTCAAGGACAGAGCAGGCCCTTCCTGACACTGGAACCAAGGATAATGGCAGGGTAGCAGGAGCACGTGAAGCTGTGTGATGTCCCCTAGACGCACCATATGCCCACCATCCCCATGGCTTCCTGAGCGCGTGTTCTGCCTTTGCCTAAATGCCCTTCCCCACCTTCTCTCCACCTAGAATATCCTACCTCTGCCTTCTGAGCCCCCCCCCCCAGGCAGAACGAGTGCTCCCTGGAGGCAGCACTGTTCTTGTCCCCTGGGAAGGTGCATCCCTGTGGCTCTCCAGTCAGGCTGGAAGCTCCCAAGGAGCGGGCACCAAGTCTCCCTCCCAGTCGACACCCCAGTGCCCTGCTGGTGCCAGCACCTGCCAACACTTCAACACTTCCTGGGAGTTTTACTGCATGTTGAGCTGAATTGAGACAGGAGAGAGGGACAAGTGATTAATGGGTGATTTCACGGGGAACTTGAAATCTCACGGGAGGACCCCCTCAGGATGTCCCCTTTCTCTTTTCACCTTATTCGAGCAAGGTTATGTGTCCACAATCCATTAGGTGACACTGGCCCCTTCTCCCCACTGGGATACATCCCAGTGGAACACAAGGGAGACTCCTGGGCTCTCCCTACTTAGTATGGTCCAGGGACTAGCACCATTAGCATCTGAATCAGAATCTGCATTTAGCAAGATCCCCGGAATTCAATTACACAGCCCTGTTCCAGGCTCCCCTGAGGACAACTGATCCCATTCCTGCTGACAACAATCCATTGCCTTAGTTTGTTGTGAGCGCACCCCCTCTGCCAGGCACCTACTAAGTACCTTCTTACTAAGTGCCTTCGAAGCAGTGTTTCCTCAACCCCTGAAGCTACTACTGTCATCATCCTGCAGGTGAAGAGGTGGAGGCATAGGGAGGAATCCAGAAAAAAGCACAATCAATTTCCCCCAAGTTAATAATAGCCACAGTGAGCACTCAGCAAATTATTAGGTAGAGGCAGGCCTGCTCTAAGTGCTTTTTCATGAATCAATTCCTTTACCCCTCACAACTTTATTATTACCCCCGTTCTACAGATGAAAAAACGGAGGCATGGGGAAGTTAAGTAAAAAGCCAGGATTTGAACCCCGGCCTCATGGCTCCAGAATCTGTAGGCAAAGGCCTCTTGGCTGCAACAACTCGCCCTGGGTTCTGCCTGACAGACCACCCTGCAGAAGGGTCAGTATTGTGACTGGCTTATTGGGGTTGGGAGTCACGTCGCACTGTGGGAGAAAGGGCTTGGGAAACGCTTCTGGTTTTGCTGTTGGTTCTTGGTTCTGGTTTTTACATAAAGAGAAAGCAAATCAGGCTGCAGAAAGACTCCAAGAGCAGCCCGCCCCCTCCTCCTCCTCCTCAGAAGGCCAAGCGGCACCAGCTGGAGTAGATTTTTGTGCTTGCTCTCCTCCTGGCCCAGATTTCATCAGGAACAGCGCTCCCCTGGGAGAGGGGCCGGGGCTCCTCAGGCCCAGGCCGAAGGCTGCCTCTGGCGCTCAGTCTCCAGGGACATTACCATGGCCACTATGGGCTCCCCGGTCTTGAGCAGAACAATAGCACCTCTCCCCTCCCAGCTGGGGCCTGGGGCTGCCCTGAGGCCCCTCATCCCCAGCCTGGCCCAGGAGAGGTGGGGGAGAAGACCACTGGGGAACGGGGGTTGTCCTCCCCCAGGTAAACATGTGAGGCACCTGCTCCTCTCCCATCCCAGGGTCTCTCCCTTTGCCCCTCGTTCCCAGGCCACCCTCTCCCCTCAAAGGAGGCCTCTGCGTACTAGATGCCCACTGAGGTGAGGGCCACAAGGGAGCGGGCCGGGGTCACATGCTCCACCATGGCCCCCAGGGACCGGTTGGCTGCTCTCTGGATGAACTCGCTGGTGTTCCCCATCTTCTGGAGCAGGCAGCGGGCGATCTCCTCAGCCTCCTGGTCCATATTCTTCTTCAAGGCCCGGAAAAGGTCTCCCAGGGTGCTGATGGCCAAGCGGGATACCTTGGAGCGGAGGTTGGTGACCTTGGAGAGAGATGAGAGAAGGACCCTGCAGGCCTGCTGGGTGCTGCCAAGGGCTCCGGCACATACGGAGAATGGAGCACTGTACCGCCTCCCAAGGCCTCCACCCTTGCCTGGGCCTGGGCCTCGCCAGGCTGGAAATGGTCACCCTGCAGCAGTTCTGGGCAAAACAGTCCCATTTTTAAAAAACACTGTTACTGTTGTTATTATCATAATGATCAATTCCATCATTATCGTCTCAAATTTGTACAACACTTAGTCTTGAAAGCACTTTTACAAATAATGTTTAATTTGATCTTCACAAGGCCCCCTCACTGGAAAAGTCTATTCCTGAGGGCAAGGGGCACAGCCTCCACTTGTGATAAGGTGTAGCCTAGGCCAAGCCCCAGCCCCACAGGAGAAAGGGTTTGGGAAGTTACAACTGCCTAGAAGTTGGAGATCTGGCCTAGAACACTCCATCCCTCCCCAGGCATTCTGAGTACAATGCAGGACTGTGACAAATGGGCACACAGGATTCTGATTGTTTCAATACCCAGAGATCAGAAAGAAGGAAACCCCAGGCCTCAGTTTTCCAATCTGAGAAATGGGTGGCTAGCTCCCATCTCAGGGGCTGGGGACTGAGAAATAGGAATGCCCGTGTTCTGGGCACCATGGGCCCCTCTGTGGCTGCTGTTGTGACCCTCACTGAGCAGCAGCACCAGGGAAGAGGGGCTGGCTGGGGATCGGGCAGAGGGCACAGACACAGGATGCCTCACCTCTCCAGTCACAGCCAAGGACACATCGTGCAGCCTCCCAGCGAGGACCTCTGCGTGACAAGCCGCCAGGCGCTGGACACTCACCAGGCCTTTCTCCTTCATCTGCCTGAGAAGCAAGTCCAGGCCCTATCACAGGCAGGTGGGGAGGGAGGAGCCCCTCCCTCTGCAGACCAGGGCCCCCACTCCACCACTGCTACCCCCACCACAGCAAGGAGGGATTCGATGGCCTCAGTGGCAGGGTGTCCTGGTGTAACATCCAGGCTGAAATCCTAACAGTCCAGTAAAAGCCATTTTATGGGGCCCATGACTCACTCTCACCCAGGATGGAAGCCCACACCCAGGACCCTGGTCTATGCCCCAACAAAGCCGGCACCATCAAGAGAAGGCACTTGAACATGAGGACAGAGGACAGGGAGGTCTTCCTGCAAATGTTCTGGACCCCAAGACATCACTCTGCTCATGACCAAGATTTTGTGTGTCCACTGCCGCAGTGGGAGGAACACTGGAGCAGAATGACCTTGATTTAGAGAAATGGAGGGCAAGGGCCTATCTTGGGCCCCACAGAAGTATTGCGGAGTCAGGTCACACTTGCCATGCTGGCTCTGGTGTTTCGTAGAGCTGTGCACGGGCTGTTGGAGGGCCCAGGGCAGATGCAGGAGGCCAGACTCACTCAAACACACACACACGCACACACACACACACACACACTCTCTCACTGGAACCCTCCTCAGGACCAGCCCGCTAGGGCAGCAGGGGAGGCGGGCAGCCGGGAGCAGGAGCCACTCTGCAGCCCTCCCTCTGCCACAGTGCACAAAGGGAGTGTTTCCTCACCAGTTGCTGCTGTCCAAGCACTGGAGGGCATCTACCAGTCCCAACTCCGGGTTTGAGAAAGGCCTCAACTCCTTGAAAGCCCGAAGATCTGTCTCCTCCTCCTCTTCCTCCCACTCAGGAGACCCCAAAGTAAGCACCGCAGGTAAGGAGTGAGCTGCACTCACAGAGGAGGAAAGGAGCAGGCAGAATTCACCAGGAGGACCCGAAGCCTGGCCCACAGCACAGCACTGAGCCCACCTTAAGGGGAGCCAGGGTTGTGCGGGGAGAAGGGACCTGTGAGGGCTGAGAAGCCGGGGCCTGAGCTATACTCCTGGGAGACCCACGAAGACCGCCTAACTCCCTACCTTTCGCTGACTGTTCCCTGCCATTGCCAACCTGATTAATAAACAAACCGGCCTGTGACACGCTGCTTGGTGCCAAGTGACCAAGCCCATCTAGCTGGTGATCCGCCCCCATCCTGCCTTCTCTGTGGCTGAGGCAAGGCCAGCGAGTCCGTCAAGGAGTGACCCCCCTACTCACTTTGGTGGCGCTCTAACCTCGTCCCCACCAGGAGCCTGTGCTACAGCTTCTCCTCCTCCTCCTCCCCCCCGATTCTCCATCCTTTCATGAAACTTCTGCCATTGCCCATGTGAGTAGGGGGCAGCCTGGGTGGTCACCTGGCCAAGAGAGGAACAGTAAAGTGTCTCTGGGCCTGCAGCGGGAATTGTGGGTGGTGGGACAGGGCCACTCTGCTCCAGCGTTCCTCCCACTGTGGCAGCAGACACACAGATTAGACTTTCGGCTTTGATGGGATCAAAAGGATAGAAAGAGAACGGAAAAGGGAGGTACGACACTATTACTTCTAGTATGAAGATGATGCTCTATCTACCATCAATGTCCTACCACATCCTATACTTAAAGAAACTCTGAACCAGGTTGGTTGTTTTCAGATGTTCTTTAGTTGCAAAATCTATTCAGATGAAACATCACATGGATGTCCTGTATGCAAAAAGGTGAGGCCAAATAGAATGGGGATAGAGCCTCCCCTTTGTCCCTTGGCACCTTCCTGAGTGTCCCATAGAACCTTAAGGTCCTTGGATCCCAGCCTGTAACCAGCCCTGTCCAGCCCTGACATTATGAGGCAACATGCAAGGTCTTCCAGGAACCCTCTTTTCCATTTCCCAGTGTTTCCAGCTACCTCCATGGAGGCTGTTTCCCAGCACCGTGGTCCTGGTGCACGGGCAAGTCCTCTAGGACACGTCATGCAGGCTGGGCACACCTGTCGTGCCGTCCACAATTCCCGTTACAGTGCCCTGAGAGCCCAGCCTGGCCCACAGACACTTTACTGTTCCTCTCTCTGGCAAGGTGGCCACCCAGGCTGCCCCCTACTCTAACATGGGCAGTGGCAGAAGCAGGGGTCACCTTTGTCCCCCAAAGCATCCTGAGACAGCACAGCAAGAGGGACATGTGCCCCCACCCACCTGAAGCGTGGCGGGCAAAGCTGGGCTCCTGTTTGCTGACAGGGATGCTGGGCAGGGAGGCCCGGTTGGCCCGTTTCCTCAGGATGACGCCCATGTTGTTTCTGCATGGGCTGCTCAGCCCGGTGGGCACAGATAGGGTCCTGCTGCCCCGGAGGGGAAGGAGGCCTGTGGAGGCAGAAAAAGTCCTAGCGCGGAGCCAGTCCTGTCTGCCCTGCTAGCCCCAGTGTCTCCCTTTGGAAACGGGCCCATGACTGGGCTACGAGAGATCAGACATGGCTCCCTGTCCCGTCTAAGGACAGAGAGGCAGGGAGGTGTGGGGAGCCTCCCTTTCAGCCAAGGTGTTGACCAAGAGGTCTCCCCAGCCTGAGGGATCCATCCCAACTCCTAATACCTTCCTTCATTGAGGTTCTCTGGGAGCCCAGGCTCTGGGAAGCCAGCTCCCTCTCCTTCTCTGGGTCCTTCTCCATCCAGAACGACTCCATCTCCTTCATCTGCTTCAGCCGCATCTTCTCCTGGGCAGACTTGGAGATGGTGACCTGGGTCTGGCACAGGGTCAAGGCAGACTCCATCACTGTGGGGACCCAATTGTACTTTCTATACCTGCTTCAGTTATTCAATCACCAGGAGAGTGAGGGGCCCCTGTGTGCCCATTGCTGTTCTGAGTGAGGAAAAGTTTCAAGGCCTTGCTCCCAGAGAGATGTGTGGAGTGGGGAGATGACAGCAAACAGATCAGCCTCTAATGACAGGCAACACACACCAGAAGGGAAGTAAGGGATACAGGGTGACAAGGCTTCTGTTTCAGGTAGGGAGGCCCAGAGGGACTCCCCAGGGCCATGAAATTGAAGTAGAGACACAAATGCAGTGAGGAGCAGTCTTGCAGGTTCCTAGGGGAGATGTATTCTAAACAGAGGGAGCAGTGAATGCAGAGGCCCTGGGGCTGGAGTGTGCTGGGCATTGGCTGGGAGCCCTGAGGAGGGCACGGGCTGGGGCACCGTGAGTCACAGGAGAGACAGGACACAGGTCATAGGTGGCAGGGTTTGGGGGGGTGGGGCGCAGGAGCCACAGTGGGCTGGACCCTGTGGTCCGTGCCTTGGGGTTTTCCTCTGGAGGATGCAGCAAGCCACGGGAAGTTTTGAGCAGAAGAGTGGTATGGTCTGACTCCTTTGTTTTGTTTGGCTGGCTAGGGGGATTCTCTAAGTATTGTTGTTTTTTATAACTTTTCATTTTGAAACAATTTAAGACTCACAAAAAATTGTCAAAACCGAACCAAGAGGTCCCACATGGTAGGACTTGGACCAGGATAACAGGAATAAGGATGGTAGAACAGCCAGATTCTGGACATGTTTCAAAAGTAGAGCCCATGGCTTTGCCTGATATGTGAGGTGCGGGATGAGAGAGAAAGACAGGAGGCAGGGTGGACCCAAGCTTTTTGGCCGGAGCTGCTGGAAGGCTGGAGTTGACTTTTACTGCTATTCATGGAAAGGGGACTCTGGGGAAAGAGGAGGTTTGGTGGTATGAATTTCAACAGTGGAGTTTTGGAAGAAGTAAGTCTGAAGTATAATTAGATACCTAATGGAGAGGTTGAGCATCAATTCTGTACAAATATGGTCACATAATTTAACTGCTACTGGAGATCTGGGAAGGTCTGGGCTGGAGAGGGAAATACGGGAGAGCTCAGCATAGAGGCGGTGCTTCATGCCGTGGACTGGACCAGGTCACGGGGGTCAGTATAAACAGACAGGAGGCTGGAGGTCCAAGCTCTGGGGTCTCCAGCACATAGAGATCAGGAAGACACAGAGGAGCCAGTGAAGAAGGCTGGGAAAGGAGCTAACTTTGATGCAGTCAGAGAAGCAAGAAAGAAGCCATCTCTCATCTCCATCCGTTGGTGGGGAATTCAAGAAGGATGAGCCACAAAAGCTGGCGATGAGTCGAGTCAGAAGAACACTGAGATGTGCTGCATGTGGGAAGGTCATGGCCATTGGTGCCTCAATGGGGACAGTTTCAGTGGGTCTGTGAGGACTAAGCCCCACTGGCCTGGACTCAGGAGAGAATGGGGGGAGAGACAAGGAAGTATTTTTGCTTTGGTTTGGTTTAATTTTCTTAAGATGAGAGAAGTAACAGAAAGCTAAGATGCTAGTGGGAATGATCCAATTTCAAGGAGAACACTATTGATGCAGAAGGAACAAGGGCTGGAGTTGGGATGTCTAGCTCAGATGGATTGAGCTAGAACAATAGGAGGTGTTGAGTGAATGGGATGCTTGAGGTTGGGATGATGGTGGGGGGAAGTTATCTGCAGAGCCCAGGTCTGTGGTATGATCATGGGAGTGAGTGGCTAAGGTGGGGTGGGGGATGAGATCATTTCATGGCCCTGAGTTACGTCTCCTTTGTCTCATGGTCTGTCACCCTCGCTGGGGTGGGCTGATGTGGAGCCTGGTCCTCATCAGCATCACTGGATCCTGGCCCTAACAGAGCACATGCACAGAGCAGGCTTTCAAGATACGTTTGTTACACTCATATCTCTGTTGCAAAGAATGAACACAGGTCCCCATAAAAGTCACTCTCCAAGTTTTATTCAGTTCATCCAGTCTAGGATCGGGGTGAATCATCTGGATCAAGGTCACCTCAGAAGTACAAGGTATTTGTCAGCCCATCAAGCACAGCCTTTGGCTGATCTGCCTCTGAGTCAGCTGCCTCTGAGTTGCTATCTTGGGTGCTGGTTCAAATTACTCAGCTTGGTTCACCTAAGCCCCTCTGTGCTCTCCCCACATCCTGCTTCCTTCTGAACCATGTGTGACCTCTCTCTGCCTCCCCTCCTCCCTCATCCCCGCCCCTCTGCTCCCTGCTATACTCTTCCCTTCACCTAGTCCTTCTCATCCCCATCCTTTTCCTCCTCCTCTGTTTCTCTTCTTTTCTTCAGCCTTCACCCCAAACTCATCTACAGGTTCTAGCCTCAAGTATTAGGGGCAGCTGCCTTGGGGCTCTTCCTTGCTTTCCTCAAGCTGGTCCCACACTCACGTATTTCAGAAACATGTGTGCATTCAGCCAGTGGTCCACTTTGACCCCAGCTTCCTCCTCCCCTCGCTTTCCAGGTACCTTAGTGCTACTCTCCTTCTGGTCTTCTTCTTTTAGTAAGGGGTGGGCTTCCTTGGCATGGCTGAAGGAGAAGGCGGTCAGCATAGGAGCGCACTGAGATGAAGGCAGGGCAGGCCTCTCAGGGGCAGCAGGCCTGTCTCTGACAGGTGGGACCAAAGGTTTTGGCTCTGAGGAGTCGAGAACAAGAATGGAGCTGAGGACACCCAGAACCCTGGAGCAGCTGCCATCCCTTTGATCCTGAGGCTCTATGACCCTGTGACTGGTGTAACATTTTACTGCCTAAGCCCTCCACCCTTGGTTCTCCTGCCCAAAGCTTCCTAATGGAGAAAGACACAGGTTAAATTTACTCTACAGAGCAGCATTCACAGTTATAGAACAGGCTGCCCAAGGACCAACACCCTCCTTCTTTAATCCATCCATCCATCCTTCCATCCATCCATCCATCCATCCATCCATCCATCCAACAATTATCACACACCTTACTCTAAGACAGGGGAGGGAGGGAGGAGAAGAGGCAGGAAACAGAAGCAGATCTGTTATCTAAGAGGTTTAAGGTATTTCCTGAGAATATAAGTCTATCTTACCTGGGAGGTGTGAACTTCAGGAAGACGAAAAGTAAACTGAGCCCACTGAGCATTATAAACCACCATGCACCTTTCCGAGACCATGACACAGTACAAAGAGACCAGCGAACTAACTCTAGACCAATGCTCTCATTTTGCAGACGGGAAAGCTGAGTCCCAGTGAACCTGAGATGCTCTTACAGTTGGTAAAACACAAATTCATTTCCAGACATCAAATCCATAGTATCTCTCTGTCATCCTATATTTTCCCAATTAATGGATTTAAGAATACATTTCTTATAATAGAGGCAGCGTGGGAGTAGGTTCATTAACCTGGTTCATTAACCAGGTTCTCCTGCTCACAAAGTTTGGAATTCACTGTCCTAGGGTGAACTTGCAAATCTGGGGTCCTTTGGGATGGGGGCCACCATCTGGGGCTGCCTGAGGCTGGAAAGAGAGTGTTGAGTCTGGCATCCAGCAGGGCTCCTGGGTCACCCAGGATCTCTGCCCGGCCCATGCCTTCTGCCAAAGAGCCCTCCTGGGAGAAGGATCCAGGGCCAAGGAGAAGGAGGGGTGAAGTCTCCATCTGCCCAGAAGTAAGGCAGGGCCAAGAGCACAGGCATCCAGGCACCAAGTGATTGGGGCAAGGACTGCGGAAATGCCATGAGATTGGGGGAAGCCCTCGGCTTCAGACAACACCACGTGAGCCCCTAGTATGTGCCAGATGTGATGCACACATTGGGCAACACTGTCCTCAGCCGCCAGCTGGAGGCTCAGAGAGCCCCTTAAGGACTCTGCCATTTTGTATGCCCCTCTTCTCACCTATACCTCCAAGAGACACCCTAGGAAGTCTTGTCTTAGCAGCCTGGCCCCTGCCCCCTGGGGCCTGGTTCTCAAGCAGCAAGCTGATGAGACAGACAAGGGAGTAGTTATAGGCTGGGGTGTCCTGTCTGAGCCCTCACCCCAGCACTCTCAGGGTTAGCTCATAAGGGGTGATCAGTGCCAGCGTGGGTCACACCAGACTGCCCCAGCTCACCCCGCCACAGCCTGGCCAGGGAGGCGGGGAGGTGCAGCCACCACAGAGGTTTCTGTGCCAGGTCTGCCTGTCAGGCCCAGCTGAGCATCCTGACCCTGGGGCCTCTTGGGTAACAGCCTACCCCTGGCCAACTGACCCACCTGCTGCGCTGATTACAGAGTGATCTGCCAGGAAGCTGGACAAGAGGCCACCCCCTCCCGCCAGTCACAGGGCAGCTGCCTCCAACTCCCACAGTCTGCGGCCCAGGCTCAGCGTGCTCGGCCCAGGTCCCCTCACCTGACCTTCCATCCTCTCCACAGAGTCAGGGCATCAGGCTGGAAAGCCTCTGTGGGCCTCGTGTCCCACTGGCCATCTGCCTAACTTCCAGCGCGGTTGGCTCTCTTCCCCTGACACTGAAACCTCCTGGGATTGGCTGACTAAGGCATCTGTGGGGATGAGGTTTAATTTCTCACTCTGTCTGGAGAGAAATTCTCTATTTGCTTAAAACAGCGCAGGGGCAGCCGCACAATGTGTCAGAAGGTCCAGCCTTGGAGCCATGCGGACCTGCACGCAAATGTGACAAGGCTGCCTTCCGAGCCCTGAGGCCAAAGGTAAGGTCCAGCTCCATGAACCTCAGTGCATCCCTTCCTCGGTCAAATATGGACAGCGCCTTCTCTCTCAGCTGGGTCACTGGGAAGTGACACGCGCTGGTGCACCTCAACACACCTGGCACAGAGAAGGGGCTCCCCTCCATGGCACCAGGGTGACTTCTGTTTCCCCGTGTGTGAAATGAAAGACTTGAGTCCGAGAGGTCTCCTCTAGTGCTGATTCTTTGTTTTTCTTGGAGCTCTACATTTTATTCATTCAAACAACAAAATACAGAACATCAAGGTAAACATTTGTGTGTCCTACAAAACCCAAGAGTCTGAAATTTCACATAAAACTGGAAAAAATGTTCAAAAGAGGGTGACTATATAACTTGTCATTCAAACAGGGACAAAAGGCAATAAGTGGGGATTATTCCAGATACTTATTATCCATACCCCCAAATTAGATCTTCCCTTTATACATACACACACACACACACACACACATATACATACATACATACATACACACCACATCTTCTTCATCAGTCATCTGCTGGTGGACACCTGTCGGTGGGCACCTGTCGGTGGGCACTTAGGTTACTTTCATGCCTTGGCTATTGTAAATAATGCTGCTGTGAACATTGGCGGGTATGCATCTTTTTGAATTAGAGTTTTCTCCAAATGTATACCCAGGAGTGGGACTGCTGGATCATATGGTAGTTATTTTTAGTTTTTTAAGGAATCTCCATACTGTTTTCCATAGTGGTTGCACCAAACTACATTCCCACCAACAGTGTAGGAATAACCCTAATTCTGATCCAATGATCCAGCCCAGGAACCAAAGCGTCAAATAACAAATGACTGTGTGAATGGAGAGTACATACCTAGAGATTTGGGGGTCTTCTCCCGAGGCCCGCTCCTCTCCCGAGTCAATCTTAAAAGAATAGGAGAGAAACAAGCACCATGAGAAACGGCATGCAAGAGCTGCTGCTGTGAGGAGCCCAGGGTAGCTCCAAAGTGGGGCAACGGCCAAGAGAGGGGACACAGTGGAGGGCGCTGTGAGTGGCCCTGTACAGAGGCTCTTGGCCAGGGGTTCAGAGCAGCAGGAGATGCAGCTTCTTCTGCAAATTCAAGGGCAGGCTGACCGGCAGGCCAAACCAGGCCAGACTCAGTGTCCAGACTCAGCTCTGAGCCTCACTTCCCGGCTGCGCAGCCCAGCAATTCCCCAGGAAGCCAGCCTCCCCATGGAAACTACTTAGTCTAAAAGAAGGCACGTCCCCTGCCGGAGAGCGGCTGCCGAAGGTAAGGGTAAATCTCCTCCCAGCTCAGAGCAGACTGAGTTCAAGTCCTCAAACTGTCCCCACTCCAGGAGAGCTCAGTAATCCCCACCCCCCGGCTCCCCAGGGTCTGGAGGGATTGACCTTCTTTGCTGCTGATGGGAAATTACCATGTTTTGTAACAGAGGTTCAGTTTGAAACTCAGCACAGGAAGAGAAGATGGGGCATTCCCAGCACTGGTTTTTATTGTAATTTTTAAAATAGGCAGCACCATTTACTCATTCAACAGATATTTATTGAAGACCTGCTAACAATGTGCCGAGCACTGTTGTGGACACTGGGAATAGAGCATCAATAAGACAGATGGCAATCCCTGCCTTCTTGGAGCTGACGGTCCTGTGAAGACCAGTTATACCAGCTACACATTATCCAACGTGGATTTTCTCTTCTCGTTGGGAAATGCATAGACATCAGAACCCCCTGGGGGACTGACAGGGTAACAAGTCACAACGAAAGGACTGCGACACAACATCCTGTGCTCTGGCCTCAGAGGATTCACACAGCAGAATGACCCAGGCCAGGATGGTCACAGGACAGGAAGTAGGAGAGTCCACTTGGGGGCCTGCCCAGATCCAGGGAACCTCTATTCGAGGGGAATATGGAGGTCGGGGGTCCCGAGTTCTACTGGGTGGGCAGAGCTTCAACGACCAGCCAGGACCCAGAGTTGCTCCCTGGAGCCAGCACAACCTCTTGGATCTGGACCCACATGGAGGGCTTGTATGGTTTGGAGATAGTAGGCACCCAACCTAGGGAGCCCATCCTCCAGCTCTTTGCCGTTGGAACCCACCACTGCCCAGCTGCCCTGACAGGATGAGGGGGCAGAAGTGGAGCTGGGATGTCCCTGTGGTTGCCCCCTGCTGCCTGAGGGGAGCACAGGGCACCAAAAACTGGTGCTGCTTCCCTCCCCACGCCCGGCCACATCCCGCTCCTGGCCCACAGCTTCACCCCTTTGGCCTCAAGCTGGAGGCTACTTTTCCTCCTTCTCTGGGCAGAGGATGTGGCCTCAGAGCACGTGGTTCTGCCTCCATAAAGCTGCAGGCCTCTCTCCTTCCCTTCCCTAGAGACCCACCAACAGAATGGACAGAGGCCAAGGCCGCCCATACCCACCAGAGCCTCTGCCCTTCTTGATGCAAAAACGTTCTATCCCCTCCTCCCTCTGCTGAACCCACAAATCCCCATCATCACCTGGGGTCCTTCCCCAGGCCCCGTGAGAGGGGCGGGAACAACAAAGCTCTGTCTCCAGCAAGAGGCCTCTCCCTGCACCAGACACCTAAGCACCTACCAGTGTGCCTGGGCAGCACCAGCTGGACTCAGCCCTGAGTGGCCTTACCAGTGCCCCAGCCCCTGCCTCTCCTCCCAATTCCCTGTCTCCATGAAGGGCACCCCATCCACCCAGTGGTTGAAGCCAGTAACTTGCACGGTCCTCAGCTCCCCAGCTCCTCATCCCACATCCAGCCAGTCACCCTCCTCCTTCACCTGTTGAGGCCCTCCCCATGCTGACCACCACGGACCACTGCCTCTGCCCTGCTGCCCCCTCTCCCCACTCCTGCAGCCACCCCTGACTCAGTGAGCACAGTGCATGACACTTTGTTGTTGCCAAAGTGGCCTTCCTAAATCAGATCCAACGTCACTTCCACACCGAAAAGCCATCTCAATTCAGTACCTGGCCCTTCACTCCTCCTCACCTCCTACGCGTGTCACACACAAACATGCTGCCGGAAAACTCCTAGCACCACTCCTTCTTCAGCTGTCTCCCTCTTCTCCATCTCACACACTCTCCCTCAGGCTTCAGAACTCAGCTCAGGCCTCACCTCCTCCAAGAAGTCTTCCCACCCTGATTGAAATCATTTTCCACCATGCTCCCCAGGATAAGGGGCAGCCTTTTATCTTAGCACTTAACTTCCTGGATTCTGAGTCGATGATTTACTAGTAAATCTCTCCTGTGAGCTCCTAGAACATAGGGACTGTTTTGTTTGGCTTTGCTTTCATAGCACCCAGCACAATGCCTGGCATAGAGTTGGTATTTAACATCTTTCAAGTGTGTAAGTGAATGTATGAATGGATGATTGGGTGCATGGATGGATGGATGGATGGATGAAAGGGTAATGGAGGCTCCTTCCCAGCCATTCACCAGCCTCACAGTCAATGGAGACAAATCCATGTCACAACCAGACAGCAAATGGGCAGATACTTATCGTGTGAATAATCCATGGCAGGTACCAAATTTGGCACCACAAGAACCACAGAGATTTCGAGACATGGCACCTGCTCTGTAGTGCTCCAAGTTAAAGAATAGAAAGGAAAGTTGAACAAATCGGGGGGGAGGTGGTCAGGCAGTGCACGGGCTGGATGCCATGTGGTTCGTGCTGAGAAGGCTCTTCCCTTCCCTGGCACACTGAGGAGACCAGGAAAGACCTTAGAGCAAGGGTGGACGTGGGACCCGGGCTTGAGAAATGCAGAAACTGATAGGTGGGCCAAAGGTGAAAGGCTCATGTTGGGACTGCAGGGATGGAGGAGGTGAGGGCTTGTCATAGCGGGGTCTAGAGGGTGGGAAGTTTCCTGCAGAGCAGCTGAGGAAGTGGCTGGGACACCCTGAATGTCCGACCAAGGAGACTCGTCTTTAAGATGCTGCCACCAAGAAGTCAACAAAGGCGAGGTGCATGGAAGAGGTGCAGTTAGAGTGTGGATGAAGACAGAATGTTAGGATGGGGAGCCAAGGGCTGCAAGGAGACGGGTTAGGAGATATGGGGGGTAGTCAAGTGGGAGCAGGAAGTGCAAACTGAGAGGAAAGGCAGGGGCAAGAAAAGGGTGGTAGCTTTTGTATTTTCTCTTGTTGTTTAAGAAAGACCTGATGGGATGTGGCAATCTGTTAGGAACAGAGGCAATCAGTGCAAGAGTCGAAGATGATGCTGAAACTGGAAGATCAAAGAGAATGCCTGCACCTCGGTGGAAATCAGGAGATGGTGGGATGGAGGCAGTTTGGAGAAACAGGAGGTGCTCCATCCGTGATGCCCCAATGGTGGCACATCCTCTCTCCCTGCCTCTGACATTGGATCTGCATCAGCCAAGCGGACCCTGGGGATGCTCAACAGGAGGAGGGAAGCACGGTGCTTGACTCTGGGGAGACCTCAGAGTAGAACAGGGGATGCGGAAGTCACCCATCCCATGTGATTTTGGTAGCCACCTGCACAGATGAGATCCCAGGGGATAACAAGGAGATGGGGGTAAAGGGCCCAGGAACAAATTTTTAAAATGATGAAAGAAGGAGCAGGGGAGACTGTCTAGAAGCAGGTTTAAAGTCAGGAAGGTGAGGAAGGAGGGGCATTCAAGAGCATCGACAGCTCAAATGATACAAAAAAAGTCAAGAGCAGTGGGATTGGAGGAAAGGTCACTTATTTGGGGCCAGAGAGTCATGACAGCACCAAGAACTCTCAGGGGAGGAAGAGGCAGGTGTCTGAGCAGGAAAGGAGGAGGAAGTGTCAATGGTGAGCAAGCAGAGGTCCGTGGAGCAGGCCACTGTGAGGAGGCTGCCCGCCAAAATGGAGCCGAGAGCTCAAGTCCAGGAACAGGTCCACAGACGGGTTCCCACGCTCTACCGGGCATGGAGGAAGATGTGGACATGTGTCTGACAGAAGGGGAGGCAGCGTGGGAGATGCAGGAAGAAGCCTGCAAGAAATGGGTACAGCAGACCCCAAAGAGAGACCCCCATCTCACATTCACTCCAACATCCATCTGGACTGACCACGGAGACTTCTTGGTCATGTGGAGAGCACTATCTGTCCCACTTACAAGCCATAAGTCCTGATTTATTCTAACACAGAGCTCCTCCACCCTGGTTTCCAACCTTCTGGGGAGTATGAAGCACCCTCTTAAGTCCAAAAGTTTTGTGGACTACTTCTCTCCCACCAAACACAGACATGATAATGCTTGTCTTTTTAGTATCCATTGATTAAGAAAATGCATCATCACAAAGAGCTGACAAAATTCAATAGAGCTTTAAAATAATTTGTATTTTATCCATCACTGCAGCAAACCATACACATCAGGACATGGGTAGAGGTAGAGGCGAAGGCATTGTTTAAGCCCATACACATTGTTTAAGTCCAACATGCTGGAGGCAAGGATCAGAGCTGTGACTGCCCCAGGTCTGAGGCTCATGGTGGGGGACCCTGCCCTCCACACAACCGGCCCTCAGAGATCTGCCCTGATGTGGAGGCCCTACCATGGGGAGTCCAAGCAGATATTGGGGGATAGAGGAGAGAGGATCACTAGGTAGTTTAGGCTTAGGGCTGCTTACCGTGTAGGGGGCGCCCTCAGGCTGGTGAGGACGTCCTGGCCTGGAGTCAAGAGGCTGGGAAGGGAGCCAGGCGTGCAGGAGGAGGTCCTGGCGGACACCCCGGCCTTTGGGATGGGTGGGGTTACGATGCCCCCCAGAGACTTGTGCATCTTCTCGTCGTTGCAGTGCAGGTATTGCTGGGAGATCTGCACCTAGGAGTGGAGGTAGGGGAGAATCTGGTCCATGAAACATTCCAGCCTGGATGCTCACCTCCCAGGCCCCTCTCACAGAGCAGTCCCTTCTATCAGGAGCCACCTGGGCAGTGGTGCCAGCAAGTGTCCTCTGGTCTCTCTTTCCAGCCACACAACCCCGGGGACCCCGGTTCATTGTTTCCTTTCCATTTCAGGCAAGAAGTGGTCCCCTCATTCCTACTCCAACCCCTTCTGCTGTTATTATTATTTGTTTTTCTGTTCTTCTCATTTCAGAAAATCCTAGAACATCAGAGCTGAAAGGGATCCTAAAAAACATCTGGTCCAATCTCCTCTTTTTAGTGTAAACTGGGGCCCAGAGAGGGGAGTGACCTTCCCAAGGTCACACAGCCAGTGAAGGGCAGAGTGGAAACCAGAGCTCAAATCTCCTGAGTCCCAGCCCAGCATTCTTTCCCCTCAGCCACACTCCCTTACTGAAAACAAGGAGAGTTGGAAGCATGAGGAATTCTGAAACATTCAGACCAGAGAGGCTTGGGAACCACCAAGGGTAGGACAGGCAGTCACACAGCCCTGTTCAGGAAGAGTGGGCCCAGCACCTCTGGGGCTGCTTCCAGGCCAGCGACAGAGGCTTGATGCTGTGGCGGGGTGGGGTGAGATGAGCGCTCCGGCCCCGCTGAATGCTGCTCAGCCGAGACACCTCCAAAGCAGCTCAGGGCTCGGGAACAGGGGTTGTTAAAGGACAGAAAGAAAGACCAAAAAAGGACAGAGAGACAAGACTCAGGGTAGTCAAACCGCCTTACCTCCTGGGCACCAGGTTTTAGCTCCTGGGGACCCTGACAGCTCCTGGGTGGGTCCAGGCTCTTCTCCTTGGCTCCGCTGGCCTCTGGGGTGGTGGGGATGCTCTGGATGGGAGGCATCGGCCTGGGCAACCTCAGCAACCTCTGAGAGGTGGCCCGGGGGATGGCGGTCCTCAGGGGCACTCCTCTGGGGCCTCCCCCGGGCTCCAGAGAGGCTGAATGGGGTAGGGATGGGAAGTAAGTTAGTCTCAGGAGTGCGGGGAGTGGGATTAATTGAGATGCTGGCAACGGGGCCTAATGTCCTGGGGAGAGGGGGAAGAGGGAGCTAAGGGCAGATCTGCCCCCAACACCACCCCCACCACTAGACTGCGCCAGCAGACGGTGCTGAGTATTCTTTCCCATTCCTGTAAAATGTGGTGGAAAATGTCAATCAAAGTCATCAGTTTAAAATTCAGAGGCAGGTTGGGTAGAAAGGGAAACAAAATCGGTACTGGATTAGGAGTGAGGACAGCGGGTTCTAGTCCTGTGTCCATCTGAAAACCACTGGGTGGTTTTAAGGATAGCTGGTGGGAAGGGAGGAAGAACACGATCAGATTTGTGTCCAGAAAGAACCCCTCTTGCTGTGAAGTCTACAAGGAGGCGAGTGGGGGTTGGGGGGGGAGGTTGGTAGGGGGCTACTGCAGAGGCTCAGGTGGGAGATGGCGATCCAGGGAGGGTGGAGGATGCAGAGAGAGGGCGCTTGGTGGGTGCCCTTGACTAGCCCTGAATGGACCCCAGCTGTCAGCTGGACCCCTGTTGATCATCACAACGCAGGTGGCTTGGTGTCCCTGACCTTGGGGAGGGTGAGTGGCAGGCGGGCAGGGCTCACCTCGGGAAGATGTTGCCAAGCCCTCTGAGAGTCTCCTTTTCTTGAGCTTGTCCTTGATCTGGGTGGTGTCCCGGGCCACACTGTTGGCTTCCGACTCCAGCAAGGGGAGTGGCACCAGGGGGTAGGGGCCCTGAGACAGAGCTCCAAGGTTCCTGGGGTGGCCATTTCTGACTGGCCAGCCCTTCAGGGGAGCATCCAGCTTGAGGCTGCCAGGGTCGCCATTTCCACTCAAGAGCTGCGATGGCTTCTCCAGCGGAGTGCTTGGCGTCGGCTGGAGGGAGGCTGAGGCAGACAAAAGCAAGAGCTGTTCTGCTAGAGGATCCACTTCCCCTGACTGCCCTGGAATGCTGGACACCCCCCACCCCCAGGCCCCAACTCGAGGGACAGCAGGACCTGCCTTCCCGGGGCTCACAGGGCTCTCCCTGGGTTCCTAGGAGAGCCCCAGTCCCTGTTCCTGTGGGTCCCCCTCCGTACACGTCCATCCCCCAGGACACAGAATTGAAAGGACCCACCTAAAACCAAAGAGCATTTTCAGCAGGGACCACAGTGAAAAATAACACCTGCTGGTATCCTGAGGACACAGCCAGGCTTCTGAACACACTGCTCTTCTCCCTCCAGGAACAGGCCCAAGCTCTGCTCTGCGATTTCGGGCCCTGAGCTGAGCAGCTGCCAGGTGGAACCCCTCATTCTCTGCCCAAAATCTCCAGAGAGGCTGCCCCAGGCACTCGAAGGCCATCTGATGTGGCCAAGTCACCAGGCTCAGTCCCCCAGTCTCACCTTCTCCAGAAGTGTTCAGGCTGGAGTTGCTGGTTCCACCCAGGAGTGCACGGGGCCCAGCACTGGTCCGGGGGACACTCCCACAGTACACGGCCACCGGCGCCAGAACCTTGGCTGGGGACAGAAGCAGAGGGGGAGCAGCACCTTAGAGTCCACTGGGGCCAGGACTGGGGAACAGACTACCCCAGGCAGCCTGGCCTGCAAACCAGAGCCTGGCCCTCAGATGGGGTCTTGCCACCCCAGCCCAAATCGGCCAGGGCACCAAGGCCCAGAAAAATCCAGACTTCTAGATTTTTCTTAAGCCTTCAGCACCTTCCACTTCCTTACAACTATCTAACGTCAGGTAGGATCTGGTGCAGCACTAAACTGTGCAGGTATTTTCACTGTCATATATCAGAGCCCCCAGGGCTCTGCCCTGAGCACAAGGACCATTTCCTGAATTGCTCTGCCATTCCATGTTCTCCACCTTCCTCCCAAGGGGCTGTTGGGCCCCTGCTCCAGTCCCTTCAGGGACAAGCGGCCCTCCACCTCACAGACACCCATTCCATCTGGGCCAGGACCTCCTGATCCCCTCACTCTCCAGAGGAAACTGAGGCTCACACAGCCGGCTCCCCGGGGCAGCACCAGGCCTGGAACCCTGTCTCCTGATATAGAGCCGGCCCCTCTGTTCCCACTCTCCTGCCCTGTCAGCTGAGGCAATGGGGACACCCAGCCCTCCCTGAGGCCCCAGCCCTGCATCCTCTGCCCATCCTCATCCTCCCACCACGGAACACGCCGAACACTACAGTCAGCTCCTCAGTCAGCCCACCAGCTCAGATGGTGGAGGCAAAGCTCAGGCCAAGGCGACCAGAACCAGGCGAGGGAGCCCTTCCCCACCCCGACAGGAGGCTAAGCACGGGATCCAGCATCAGCCCACGGAGCGCTGGGCCTGGGCAAAAAGGTTGGCCGCCCGGCTACATTTCCCAGGCAGAGTGCAGCCCCTGGGAGTATCCGAGTAAGACCCTAAGCCCCCTGACTTCCCTTGGTGGCCCTTACCAGGAGGGACAGCATCACGGGTGCCCATGCCCTGGGTGGAGAAGGCGTCTGGGAGGCTGTCCAGAGGCAGCAGCTACTTTCTGGGCCGTGAGTACAATCCTTGGGCAGCCAGATGGCCCCAACCTGTAACATCCGGGGACCTGGGATGGGGAGAGGCAGAGAGAAGTCAGTACAAATACCAAGCACATTTTGAACCACTTCGCAGGAAGCCCGGCAGGAGCTAAAGCATTCTTGTAGTGAAGAAAGCTGCCACTAGACTGAAGGACACTTGTCTAACATCTGCCCTCTCAGGCACTTCAGAGCCTCCAGGGACCAAGGCCGTGTGACTAGAGGCAGAGCTCACCGCCCAGAGTGTCCGCGAAACCTGCGAACCTGGCTTTGCTCACAGCTTTGGCTTCGGCATAGACACATTAGGGTGCTGGGGAAGGTGGAGTTCATCACGTTTATCTGACGCTTTGTTTCCCCACAAATTTGTTTCCCTCATGACTCTGCCAGCTGCCCTGGAAGCTCCTGTTGAGTGTCAAGCCTGTGACCCGGCTTCTCAGTGTGCGGTGGGGTCTCCCCAGAGACCGCTCCCTAGTTTTCTCTCAAATGCACCGCTCTCCATCTGCATGAAGTTCCCAGCCTTCATTCTCACTTTGTTGACCAAGCCAGCCTCAGACTCTCTCAGCTATTTCCTTGTCCTGAGCCAACCGCTTGAGCACCCCAAGCCCCTTCCCAGCCTCCCTTAAAACTCTGGGGTCATCATCAGCTCCTGCCCTTGACCCTCACTTCAGGGTGGCACCCTGAAGTGACAGGGTCCCACCACAGACTCTGTGACTTCACACAACTTTATAAATTCTCTGCTGAGATAACAGTGACTCATTTTCACCCTGACAGGTAGGGAGGTGGACCACCAAGCTGATCAGTGATGACATCAGAGGTAAAGACCGCATCTCCCAAATCTCCCAGTTTCTACTTGAGAGATATCACTGGGGACAGGGCAGGAGGCAGTGACAACTTCCTTTGGCCAAGCAATAAATCCCAACTCAGGAACTGAGAAAACCTGCCTTCTATCTGAAAGCCAGCCCACCACGTCCCCACCCAGGCCCAGAAGGCAGAGCAGCTCCTAGCAACCCTTCTGGCCAAACAGAGGTTCCAGCCCAGCCCAGCCAGCCCAGCCCCAGCCCAGCCTTTGCCTGGTCGCACTGACAACGACCTCAGCCAGGGAGAAGGCAGCTCTGTCTGCTCACTACTGGGATAAGGATTTGGCCACTTGGTAGCTACAAGCAGCCAGGAATAGCCGAGGGACACGGCACTTCTCCCGAGCAATGTGGAGGAAGATTCTACCCTACAGGTCCCAACACTCCACCCCTTGCCCCAAGCCGGGAAGGAGACTCAAGAGACCGGCAAGGTGGCTGCTTCCAGCAAAGTTCAGCAGGACAGACCTTCCATGGCTGAATTAAAGCAAACAACGCTGGAGTCCAGGCTTCAGGGGCAGCAAGAGCTGCAGGCCCCACAGACCCCTGCTTCCCCGTTTCAAACTGAGCGTAGACTTTCTAAGCGAATTACACCTGGAAGAACAATCTTTAGCTACAGGCCTTATTCTCAGCCTCAGCTGCAGATCCGAATTGTCTGGGAACTGATTAAAATGACAGATTCCCAGGCCTCGGCCCGGGCCCCTTACTGAAGTAGCATCTTCTAGGGAGCAGGCCACAGGGATCTGTTTGGGGATTTTTGTTTTGTTTTGTTTCTAAACTCCTGAGTGATATTTATGTTCAAACAGGATTGAGAACCACTGGGCTATAGTTCAGATTCTCTTTCTAAGAAGATCCCAGCCCTGTTTCTCACCGTCGGCTGTTAAAGTGGTATTGCTGCCTCAGTTTCCCCAAAGGGATCACCTCCAGGAGGCTAAAGAGAAGATGTGGGGCTGCTTGAGAGCACAGATAGCATGAGGGTCAGTGGCACCTTCTGAGCAAGACCACCCCCGCCCCACTCTCCACAGCTTCGTCAGGAGACAGACACCGGCTGCATCACTCCATGGCCTGAGGGACACCAGTGGTACAGAAGGGAGACCTGGATCCACTCCATAGCTTGCCCAGCCAAGCCACAGGCAGAGCCCCTTTCAGGCCTCTCCCCACCTGTGTCCACACCTTTGACCCCTCTGGCCCTCAGGGTCTACACACAGGACCTCCCCAGTGCCTGCCCAAGAGGAAGTAGCCACAGCCGTGTAGGCAAACAACCATGTCTTGTATCTTGTGTGAGAGCAGTGGGTGGCATGTCCCCGGGACCTGGTGGGAACTTAAAGATCTAGGTCCAAACTATAAAAACCAGAATCAGAAATCCCATTCCAAATGTGGACAAAGCTTTGGGTTTGGCATGGACAGTACATAGTGCTGACCCCTGAGGCACAATTCATTGCACCCCCCGTTTGACCCCACACTGTCCTGGGCACCAAGGAGTAACTGTCCCCTATTGGAACAGCCGGTCCTTGACCTGAAGGGCTGACAGGATTCCATCCTCAGCCCCAGATGTTCTGGATCACCCAAGGTGGTTGGCTCCTCCACCCTCTTCCTCAGTTTCCCTGCTCAGGGAATGGGGTAGCCAGAGATAACTGACTGTTGTCCACTCCTTCCAGTAAAGCTATGGCTTAAGAGGGTCCATGGTGACCAGCACCACAGGAATGAAGAAAGGCGACAGAAGGGACTCAGGTTTCAAGTGGAAGGGAAAGGAACACTGGGACTGTCCCAGGAATGAATGTCAACCCCAAGGTCAAAATCCCAACCACCCTGTGCCTTGCACAGCCCACAGGGAGCCAGTGCCCCACTCCGGGTCCATCGCGCTTCCTGGGGAGCTGGGCAGAGCCTGGTTCCCAGAAGAACAGCCCTCAGGCAGGAGGACCAGACTCTGAGGGGGCAGGAGGGATCAGAGCAGGGAGGCCAGGGACAGGATCGGCCCCCAATCCTGGGACATGGGTTCCAGTACTTCAGAGAGCTCGTCTGCTCTGATGTGTCTGCTGGGAACCATAGAGCCATGTCAAGGGGAGGGGAGAAAGATGGCAGAGTTACCAAACCTAGTGTTTGAACCCAAAATACGTCACCCACTGAAATACTCTCTGAAGAGCGGCCTCAGATCTGGGCACCCCTCGCACCTCACACCCCCATCCAGTCCGCTCCTGAACGTCCACCTCGGGACACCTGGAACTTTGCCTTGGGGTCAGACACGGCTGGGTTGGAACCCTGCCCTTGCCCTCTTGAATTAACTTGGGAAGGTTACTTCATTCCTCTGAGCTTTGATTTCTTCATCTGAAAGTGTCCGAACAAAGGCTTTTGTTAGGATTAAATGAAATCATGTACAAAAGTGATTTAGTACCATTGCTGGTAGACAATCACTAACATCGGGTCTGAACTCTCCCTCCTCCTCCCCCCACCCCACACACACCCACACACATGCACACCCAAGCACAGCCACACTGTCTTCAAAGTTAACAGGGGCCTGCCCTCCATTCCTACAAGACAGACCCAGGTGACACAGGCACCCCTCCCAAGGAGTAGACAGACATGTCTAAAGGGTAAGGGGCCCAAACTAGGAGGGCCCTCGGTCCCCAGCGGTACTCAGAGCGAGTCCACACTGCGCAGTGAACACCTGCTGTGCAGGGACTGGTAGAGTGAGGTCCATCCTGGTCGTGAGCAAGGATGGGCGCATAGGGAGGAAGGCAGTGCCATCTGACTTGGCACCTGGAGAACTTCCATGGAAAAGCTGCATTCTGGCTCGGCCTGGAAGGAAGCAGGAACTAGTGGGCAGGGAAGTGGGAAAGGCATTCCAGGCTGAGGAAACTGAGCAAAGGCGTGGAGGACAGACAGGCCCTGAGAGTTTGAGGTTTGGCAGGAGGGCCAAGACTAGGCAGACGGGTGAGAGCCAGTACAGAGAGAAGTGCAGAGCTCTGTCAAGTCTGGGCTTGTCTTGCAGGCAAGGGGAGCTCTAAGATTTCAAGCAGAGGAATGATATCATCTGCCCTTGTTTTCATGCAAATCTCTCAAAGGGGACCTGGGATGGACTTCCCAGGGAAGGAAGCTTTTGACAAAATTTTAGGACTGAGACTTAGAGACATGAGCCCAGCCTCTGGACTAGGCACAGAAAGTATATGTACTTAACCAACATTTGCCACGAGTTATTGTCAGAGTTTAGACTGAAGAGAATACCCCTTCCTGTATCCCAGGTGTCTCCTTGAGGACAGTCACCCACCCACCCCTCTGTTCATCATACACACCCCTTCCCCTCCCCCACAGGAGGTAGCCCATCCCACAGACCCCCAGGGACAACTCGGGATGTTCTTAGGTGACCTACTGGACTCTGACCTCCTGGGTTCAGTCTATCACTGAAAGTCTGAGATGCACACACTCATTCAACCATATGTGAGGTTCTAAGATACAAAGGTAAATGAGACTAAATTCCAACACCTGTGAGCTGTGTACCACAGACATGTCACCAAACTTCTCTGAGCAGCAGTTTCTTTAAATGCAAAAATGGGGATATTGCCTACTCCACTTCAATATTGCATTGAATAAAATAGAAAAATCACTGAGTGCTGAGCCTGGCCCCTAGCAAGCAATCAATATCCCGTGGTGTTAGTGTTACTGCCATGAACAAGGCCACAGCAGCAGGTGGAGGATGGGTTTGGGTGGGCAGGGCAGGAGGTTGTAGAAATAATCCTGGAGAGAGGGGAGAAGAGTCTGATTTGGGGCAGAAGTGGTTCATATGGGGGGATGGGGCAGGTCAGGGAAATAATTGGAGCCAAGTCAACAGGACTGGGAGACAGATTAGATCAGGGGAGTTGAGGGGAGTCCAGCTTGCGTCCAGGGTTCTGGCGTGGAGGCTACAGGACAACGTGCCATCAGCTGCCGAGATGGTGACACAGGAGGAGGTGCCTGCCTGGGAGAGACAATGAGTCCTAGTTTGGGCAGGTTGGTGTGTGGCTCCTCCAGGACCCCAGGTGAATTCATCTAGAAAGCAGCTAGTCTGAGACTCAAAAGAGGGAAGTCTGGGCCAGAGACATGCCCAGGAGACCCCGGTAACCAGTGACTTAAGCCATTTGGAGCCGAGGTTGTCAGTGGGAAGACCTGGCCCCGAGAGAGAAGAGGGAGAGCAAGGGCAGTCTGGG